AGTTTATGGCTGTGAATCTGTATTTTGAGGACCGAATTTGCATTTTGCATTCTGATTTATCTATCTCTCTCTTCTCACTAGGTGCCCGCTGCCAAGCAGCTAGAGTTGCACACAGATTTCAGTATGAAGTGTTTTCATTTATTCCCCACTCCACTGCTCTCCTTCAGTGGAACGTCATGCAAAACGACACTGCCATCTGGAATGGAAAGAAGTCCCAATTCATCGCGTAGGGACGTGACGCTGATAAGAGTACCGCCTCGTCCTTGATTCTACGCTCTCCAGTGGAGCCTGACTCGGTGCATCGCTCAGCTCTCTCCAGTGCATCTCCCACTGCTTTCTTTGAGGTTGTGAAGCCATTAGTGCCTGTACCTGTTCCAAACTGTTCTATCTCCAAGTGTCGCGTTATCTGCATTAAATCACCTTGTGTAGTCTGCCAGCTGGAGTGGAAACAGGAAGCAAAGTGTGTATAGAAATGAGCTCTTCAGATGAGCAAGCGCAAGATTCAGAGGTATGAATCTTAGCACTAAAGCTGGATAAACTCCCACAGCTCCAGACTAAACACCGGTGGTGGTCATGAACGGAAGAAAAAAAACACAGTCGTGTTCTGCTAACTGCAAAGAAGTTAACCCTATTTAGGACTTTAGCTGACTCTTACTCTGGGGACAAAATAAGGCAAACTCGTACCGGTCAGTGTGAAAGTAATTAGACAGGGACATGTTTTTGTTGTTTTGGCTTTATACTCTTGGACAGTATGGAAATGAAACGCTCCAGTGAAAGCTCCAGTGTACTCTCGCAATCTCGTGTTTTCATTGCCTGAAAACCTAATTAACTAGACTACAAATTTAGCTAATGCATTTACTCCCAGCTAGTTAGATAGTTCAGCAACACAACATTAATACAGAATAATAAAAATGAGTGAGTAGCCCACAGATCCGGGGTGCCGTAACACCCTCGGAGGAAAGCGCTATCCGCCCTCTTACGCATACATGAGCTCACAGACGCCGCCGACTGGCCAGTGTCACTCTGACTGACGGGGAAGAGAGTATTCCATCCCTCTCACCCAGTGTTCACGGACAATTTTGCTCTCTTGGCCACAAATGGATTCGAACTCACGATCTCCCGACAACAGGTTGAACAGTGAGCAATTCTGAAAGCAAAAGTATATCACATTATGCTGCATTAAAGTCTTGGCAGAATATACCCAGGGACGATAAACAGCATCTGGTAATGTTTATGTATCAACAGCCAACCAATTACACGGAATTTTCAACCTAAATTTTCATATTATATTCATTTTGATTAATTAATTTTGATCGCCATGGAATGACGGGGCTGCGTATAAAAATGGATGATTTTTTTTTGTAAGGGTTACTAAATATAGATTAATAACCTCTTATGGAAGCTCAAGGATCTTCCTTTCTGTTATTACTCTTGTCTTGTGCATCTGTGCTGCTGGATCTGCTGTCATCTGCCATGTACCTGTAGCAGACAGGCTTTGGCACTGAAGATTCGTCTCTGGAGGAACAGTGGGCAGACTGGAGAAAAAATGACGGTGACGGTGAATTTATCAGCCTGACCAGCACACAGATTAATGGAGCTAACCGCTGAGAACTCTCTCCCTGCTGTTAGAAGGAAAAACGTTAACGGTTAGCCAGCGGACTATTAACGAACTGTTTCATGAAGGATTAAAGGGTTCCTTAGCTTAATTAATCCAATGTCTTGCATTAACTAATCTGCTAAGGCAGATTATAAAGAACAGATTCTAGAGATCCCAGTGATAGTAGCAGTTTTGTCAACCAGCTCAAGAATGATGTTAAGATCGTTAACTTTAATGACAGACAAAATGCAGAAACACACTAACATGACTAAAACAAAAAAAAGAAAAACATTTTCCAAAGCATATTGCTCTCGTTCCATATATCCGCATCTCCATGTACATGTGGACGGGGCGTTACAAGAGCACGGCACAAAACAAGGCCTGCTTTCGCTTTGCTATGAGACAGCAATAACAAAACCAACATGACGGTGCCATCTGCAACTCTCCAGCTGTTGTTTCCATCAACATCTGCACGGACTCACACAAAAGGAAAGTGCGAAATGTTATAGTAGTTCTTCAGAATGACACTGTACACACACTCACGCTCATGACAGCTCATTTACGACGTCTCTCATCAAGGAGCTTCGCTGTCGCTGTGAATCCCTGTTACTACTTCCTGTTTTTGCTTCTTCTTTTTTTTAAACACTCTTTCAATTTTCGGTGGCTATTGACATGATCCATTCAGATTGGAGCTTTTTACGAGGGTACTACGCTTATCTTGTTTGACTTCATCTCGTGCCGACTGGCATGAAACTTGATCAAGAGACAAGAAATTAGAGTCTGTGCGATATATCAATATTATACATATCAATAAACACTTTACTGAGAAACCATGATTATATATAAGTGTGTGTTTATATATATATATATATATATATATATAACATTGAAGGTGGCCTGGTCTGATGACTCACTTTTTCTTTTAGCCCATGTGGATGGCCAGGTGCATGAGCATATCTTACCTGGGGAAGAGCTGGCACCAGGATGCACTGTGGGAAGAAGGCAAGCCAGCAGAGGCAGTATGATTCTCTGGGCAATGTTCTGCTGGGAAACATTGGGTCCTGGCATTCATGTGGATGTTACTCTGACACGTAACACCTACCTAAACATTGTTGCAGACCAAGTACACTTCTTCATGGCGACGGCATTCCCTAATGGCAGTGGCCTCTTTCAGCAGGACAATGCGCCCTGCTTCACTGCAAAAATTGTTCAGGAACGGTTTGAGGAACATGACAAAGAGTTCAAGGTGTTGACTCGACCTCCAAAATTCCCAGATCTCAATCCAATTGAGCATCTGTGGGATGTGCTGGACAAACAAGTCTGATCCATGGAGGCCCCACCTCACAACTTACAGGACTTAAAGAATCTGCTGCTAAAGTCTTGGTGTCAGATGCCACAGCACACCTTCAGAGGTCCTGTGGAGTCCATGCCTCGACAGGTCAGAGCTGTTCTGGTGGTACAAGTGGGGACCTACACACTATTAGTCAGGTGGTTTTAATGTTATGGCTGATCTGTGTATATACAGTGTGTAAATATCATCAAAATAATTTTTAGAGGTTCATTTTTTAAACACAACCCTACTGATACATATTGTGTATCTTAGAAATATCTGGAAATCATCAATTGTGATATGATATTTTGCCACATTGATCACCCCTTACAGATTTGTCGATATAAAATGTCACTTTGTTGGTACTTTTGAGAGATTTTAGGCTTGTTGGTTAACAGCCTTGTGGGTTATCAAAAGATCATGACAAACGTTTTACCGAGAACTGACACCGTATATGAAAAAAGGCATTTGTAAATCTGCTTCTATTTCTTACATAAGCTAATCACTATGCAGTGCTAGAAAAAAAAAAAAGGGGTCGGGAAGTGCGGCAAGCATAGCGCACGCCTTCCTATATGGCTTCAGGACCCTCCTTCCATTTTGTGTACAGATTAATGAATCCCGAGGTAATTACACACTCACACAGCAGTCTCACACACGAGGGAACTGAGCGAGAGAAAGAGAAAGAGAAAGAAGGAAACTCCAACTCAGAAACACAGACAGAGATGCAGTTAAAGCTACATTCACATCATAAGGATAAAATCCGATCTTTCTGTCTTATCTTTTCGCATATTAGTGTGAAAAGACCTCTGGAAAACAACCGTATTTTCCAACATCACGTGTATGCGTTATGAGCAACGACAACAGGACAGTCTTTCACTGCAGTAGCAATAAAATAAACAAATCAGCAGCATGAGCTTCGGCTGCCGGTCTGTCAGCTGCTCGTGATCACAGCGATAAGGTGAGAAAGGCCAGGTGTATAGCTTTAGCTGCTATATCATTACTGGCACTTGTGTGCTGAGATATATACGTGGGCGCAGGAACAAGTCATAGCGTGCACCTGCGCTGTGAATTATGATAACACAAAAAAAATAAACACACACACACACACACAAGAATTTCACCCTGATCCTTTTCCCTACACTTTCTTACCCATGTAGTGGATACTCAACTAATCTATGACAAGCAAAAGCTCAGGATTTTGTGTTCACATAAGGTTTACTCTGATTATATTACATTACCAGACCTGCCAACTTTTACGCATCTGGCACAGGAGCTCCATAATGTAACATCGGTTTACGCTAGTTTGAGTTATCGCTCAGAAATACACCAAAAGAGCCGTCTTTATCTCCGCAATAAAACAAGAGATGAGCCAATAGACTTATGAATCTAAAATGATTTGGTCCGAAGTGTCTTAACCTCTCCGCTATTGACTGACGCTGCCTGGAAGCCCCGCCCCCCTTTCCTCCATCGCATATGCTCTCGACTGGACTCGCAGGTCATCCTCGCTTTCTGTCAAAGTAAACGAAGGACGTTTCGAGTTCATTAATGTGAAACCAAATCTATCAGTGTGTTCGACTTAGCTAACGTTACGCAAGTATTGTACACACTTAACATCAATTTACTAGATTTATTAGGGATTAGGGACAAAATATTTCAGAAATATTGTCAGTGGTATTGGTTTTCATCCGAAAGAGGAAAAAAATGAAATTTGGACCTAAAAAAAAAACAGATTAAATATTCCTCCAACAAAGTGTCAAACCTAACACTTCACAAAAAAATGTGAATGATAATTATAAATAGAAAGTGCTTTAAAAGCTGGTAATATTATTACGCCCTGAGCCCAAAAATAACGGGAACCAAAACGACGTGTATTCTGGGCTGTGGATGATATTTGATTTGTAGACTGAGCCATGAGCCATGAGCCGGCAAAGTTCAGAGGCATGTTGCTGTTAAAGTGTCATGTGTTATGAATATTTACATTTTTACGTCATCTGGCTGATGGTTTTATCCAAAGTGACTTCTAACTGAGCAGGAGAGGGTCAAGGATCTTGCTCAAGGGCCCAACCGCGGCAGCTTGGTGGTGCTGGGATTTGAACTCATGACCTTCTGAACAGAAGCCCGATGCTTTAACCCCTGAGCTACCAAAAAAGAAACACTGGATGCATGCGCATGATGTTTTTAAACTAGTTATTTATATAATTATCCATGTTCTCTGTGCTCGGCTGATTTTGTTTAGATTTGTAGGCACGCTCGGAAAAGGTTTGTTTATCTTTTCCTGTAAGTGTCTTTCGGACCAATAAAAGCAAGAGTGTTACGAGGACGTTTTCAGCTCTACACGCCCCTCAGCCAATGTTTTTTTTTTTTTTTTTTTTTTTTTGCATTTTGGTTCAATCAATCATGTGCAGGGTGAAAAGCAACCCAACCGAAAGAAGCAAACGTATCATTTAATAGGTGTGAAAGCCGCCTTGAAATGTAATCTCCATTTAGGTCATAAGTCCATTTCATCAAATCATTTGTTTTTGTCTCTTTTGTAAGACAGCCATCAAAGGTCTTTGTCTTTTAGAAAACAGAACAAAGGCTTCAGACGGTCCAGCTGTCCTATCATGATTAACCTCGCTAACAAGTGTATCATAAATAACAGACATCCATAGATACACAGAGAGCCTTTATTTGTTCTCTCACCATCTGCTACCTCAGAGGTTGTATAGAAGAGAATAAACTTCTAAACGACTCACTTTCGTGATTTGCTTTTTTGGATCTGCATGTTAAACCGAATCAGACTTTGACTCATTAGATTTAACACTGAGCATACGCCAAAGTTAAGCTCACACAAGGTCATGTTTTTTTTTTTTTTTTATACGATTTCTATTTTTATGGCTAGATTTATGACTAGCAAGCTACTTTGCAATTTATAAGGCCCTTCAGTGAGGCCTGCATTCCAAGATTTGTCATGTTTAAAGCTCAGGAAATTACGTCAAACCATGATGAAAAGTCCCAGAAGTGTAGACACGGCGACAACAGTTTTATTAAAAACGGAGTCCGGTCGCCACAGGAAATCACCATAATCTACACTCCTGTCAGGAGCTGTACTTACTGAGCCGGACGCTAATTACGGGTGAAATATCCGTTTAAACGCCCCATATATTCTCTCTTTATCTCTCTCCTTCAGTCAGGAAAAAGCCAAGGAAAAGTACCTCATATGGTTATACATGCAATAGCTCTCCCTGCTCACTCACTCCACTTTTTCACCATACACACACACACACACACACACACGTTTGTCAACACTGTGAGGACCATCAACTGACATAATTAGCTAATCAATGCTATGCCACACCTAAAATTAACCTTAACCTTAACTTCATTAAACTAAACGGAAATGTTTTGGCTCTGTTTTTTTTTTTTTTTTTTTTTTTACATAAAAGCTGCTTTTTGGTTCTGAAAAAAAAAATCTGTTTACCAGACAAAAGTCCCCATAAGGTGAAAACTGTCAGATATTCCTGTCCTTATAAATAAGATACAAACAAGATATAAAAACATGTCCACGCACACACTCACACATATACACACACACACACTTACTTTCTCCAGCTTGTTTAGTGTGTCTTGTGCTTAGTTTTGTAGTTAGATTGTGTTATTATTATTATTAATAACTTATAAATTAATAACCGAAGCTGTAATCATTTTCCTCAAATAATTCGACATATCATAACTACTGGCCATTTAAATTTTTATTCAACTTTGATTACTGTTTTAGTACATTTACAGCAGCAACATCTACACTATAAAAAAAACAAAAAAACACCGACATTATGTTTGCTGCTGCATCTGAATATACATGAGCCGGCTCGAGTGTAACTAGATATGCAAGTTAATTAAAACCATTCAAACCCATCTGATAGGCACAGGGCACGTTATCTGATGTTCCGATGTGCCACTATGAGATGATCTGATATGCTTACAGACCATTCTGCCTCAACGCTATTCTTCACTTCTGGTTACAAGAACTCTCTCAGACATCTGGCGCATAAACCGCCAAGTGTCAAACAAACCACGATGCATGTCCATACCCGAAATAGTGTCTCACATCTGTATCTTATTACAGTATCAGGTCTAAATAAGGTCAAAGTAATAAACACACGCTCTGTTGAATGCTTGAAGCTGACTGGTCAGAAGGTGCTGAGATGTTTTTGGGGTTATGTCCTAAATGTTTGTGCTGAGATCAACCATCAACAGTGCAGATGTTAAGAGAGAACCTCAGGGTCACCACAGGGACACAACTGACATGTCTAAACGGTACATAAAATGATAGTACTTAATCTTAGTGATAGAGAAGCCCCAGTGGATAAAGACGGAATTACTGGCCCCTAGTTGTTAAAACACTCCTACGAGAAGTGCGAGTCCTAACTGCGAACTTCCACAAATTCCACCATCTTCAAAATCAATAAACTCCGACTGATTTTTCCCAACCAAGGGAAGGTTCGAAAAGGAACGACGCACAGCCAAAATGCATGTTTTCCGCTAACAACATGCTACTGTAGAGCAAGACACGCCCCCAGGGGAGGGACTTATACATTCTACAGAGCATTTAATTGGACAAACAGAAGACAGAATAGTGGGATGCATCGATTTAAAAGGCAACGACTGAAATGAATCAAGGCAAGTCATAAATCAATTCTTATCAAAAAAAAACGACAGACAACTGATGTGTAAAAAATTTGTTATATTAACAAACCGATGTTTATTAATATAACCATTAATAGTAAATACTCTAGCAAGGCGATTTGCCCATAACTCTGATACTTAAAACTGTCCTTCTCAACGTTATTATCATTTGCGAATTAGCGATACGCCTATCTCAGATTCTGAACAAAGCTGGTCACACACAGTATATATTAAATCGAATCATATTGTATTATATCGTAGCAGATTCAGTGGTATCGTAAAATATCGAATCGTTGCCTTAGGAACTGAAATTGCATTGTATCGTATCGTACTGTAGCAGATTATGTGGTATTGTCAAATATCAAAATTGCTGGCTTATAAATCAAAATCGTATCAAAGCAAATTCAGTGGCATCGGTGAGTAGCTGCCTTGTGAACCGAAATCGTATCATATCGTATCGTAGGGTATCGTGTCGTAACAGATTCGCCTGTATCGTGATATATCAAATCGTTGCCGTAGGAACCGAAATTGCATTGTATCAAATCGTAGCAGAGTAAGTGGTACCGTCAAACATTAAATTGTTGACTTAAGCATCAAACTCGTATCGTAGCAGATTCAGCGGTACGATAAATATATCGATTTGTCGTCTCGTGAACCGAAATCGTATCACATCGTAGTAGATTCAACAGTATCTTCTAATATCAAATCTTTGCCTTAAGAACCAACTTTTTTTTTTTTTTTATAGTTTTCCTGGAAGTGACAAACTATAAAAATTAAAGCAAGAATATGGCTATACTATCATACTGGTGTCCATAACACTAACAGACAGGTCCCAAAAAAAACCTCTGAAACACCCATGTTTTCATGAGCACTATAAAATTGTTAAAGGTCTAAAAGAGGAAATCATTAATGTTCATCACATATAAGACAAAGTTCCAAAGGTCGAGGCCAATAAGAGCTGAGAAAGGAATCTATAGGAAGAGAATAAGCTGGAAAATGGTTCTGAGTCGCATCCTGCATGAAGGTCAGGAGAACTTTCAGAAGCCAGATAATGTGCATTATGTGAGAACATGTGCTGTATAGTATGTATGTACAGCGTGGCACTGCTACTATGTTACACACACCACTCTGTCTTTAATCCCAAAGAGAAATGGACATTTTGCGTCATGGTCCTGTGTGAGAGCGTTTGAGTTGAGCTGAGTTGAGATGAACTGGATGAATTGCCTTCTGCTGCCTCGAACACACCTCCTCACACGGGCTTGGCTGAAATGTCAGTGCGTCACCCTGTGCACCATCAGCGCCCGGAAAACACACCGGGGCATTCCAGCAGTCACCGCCATTAAACACCGTCTCTGTCATCGGTGCACGTGAGGCTTTCTGTCAAACGCTTCTGAATGCCTAGACAGCAAAAACAAAAAAATATATCTTACCTTTCTCTCGTGCTTCTTTCGCCATCCTGGTCTGTGTGCGCGCGCGCGCGCGTATGTATGTGTATGTGTGTGTGTGCGCGCGCGTGTGCGCGTGTGTGTGTGTGTGTGTGTCCAGCTGCAAGAAAGTGTCCCTGGCTCTCGTGCCCCAGTCGGAGCGCGTGCCTGTCAGTGCAACACTTTCCCGCCCAAAAAATCCCCTCAGCTCTTTCCTCAATCTCAGGTAACATCGAAAGTTAATGACACACTCCCGATGCTCTGCGCGCAACTACGGCCGGCCAATCACCTACGCCGAGCCGTGGCTTTCTCCAATCGCCTTCCGGATTCGATTCTCATCAACCAATCAGCGTCCGCTGGAGGCTCGGCTTTCTCACTCTTGAGAGAACTCCGAAGTCAACACTGCGACGTGACCGAAGCCAGACGACGCTCTGTCTCTGCCACGCTGCTCTGTGCGGGTCAAAATGACCCGTTTTAAAGTGGATATCATGCTAAATACTTTCTATTTCATCACGAAACTTTAAGTGCTTGGTTAATTTTCTCTACTGAACACGAAAAGCCGACAAATTTACTTTGCCACACAGGGTCATTTTGGTGACTAAAAGTGGCACAATTGACACAAACTGACTTTTATTTCAAAAATAATAATTAAACAGGTGAATTCACTCTATGTTACATTACCTTCATGTCTTATTTGCACTCATACCTGATTACACACCTGCTCTGAGGAGCTTCCCCAGCCGTTTGAGATGGTTTTGTGAGCATGGGTGGAGCTAAGGGGTGGCCATTAACAGTGTCATTTTATGCAAAACTGAAAGACTTGATAAATCCCGCTGTCTTAGGGTGGTGTGAATAATACCAGAATGCCTAATGGGAAATCCAAACGTTCATTTCATCATTGTCCAATGGCGAGAATTGTCAACAAGCATTGTAACGTCATGGCAGAAACAAACAAGTTTTGCTAGCTAACATAAGAGAACTGACCACAATGAACAAACACTGAGTAAACATTAACATAAAACAAAAAACAACTTTTTTACGTTAATGATATTTATTATT